CTCTTTCTGTCTGTCTCTCTCTCTTTCTGTCTCTCTCTCTTTCTGTCTCTCTCTCTTTCTGTCTCTCTCTCTTTCCGTCTCTCTCTCTTTCTGTCTCTCTCTCTGTCTCTCTCTCTTTCTGTGTCTCTCTCTTTCAATCTCTTTCTCTGATTTTCTCTCTATCTCTCTCTTTTTCTCTGTCTCTCTCTCTATCTGTCTCTCTCTCTCTGTTTCTCTCTTTTTCTCTATCTCTCTCTCTCTCTCTGTCTCTCTCTCTCTCTCTCTGTCTCTCTCTCTTTCTATCCTTCTCTTTTTCTCTCTCTCTCTCTCTGTCTCTCTATCTCTGTCTCTCCCTCTCTATCTCTTTCTCTCTAAATCCCTCTCTCTCTCTGTCTCTTTTTCTTTCTCTCTCTCTATCTTTCTGTCTCTCTCTGATATAATTTGATTATAAAATACTACGGCTCTACGCGTTCTATGCGGTGCAGCACACTTCGGGTCGTTTAAGCTGCAAAATTAAGAGGACGGGGCATCTTCGGCGGTCTCGGGCTAGGCCCAGTCTTCTAATTTTTTTGGAAAACTTAAGGATCCGGGTAGCTCGACGCCTCGGTCTCGAAGTTTGCGAAAATATTCAGTCATCGTTTTTCTAAATTTTCGAAAAATTTAGATACCGAAAATTTTCAATAAAATTAGAGAATGAATATAGTCTTCCAATATCTTATATTCTACATATAAAATATATCTTATATCCATTTTGTAGTCTTATACTGGATCATCGTATCTCATCCTTTTATGCGGATTATCGATGACAAGGATTTTCTCATATAGTCCCTTGGAGCAGCGCTTGTTCATGAAAGATCAGTATCTATCTATCTGTCTCTATATCTGTCTGTCACTCTTTCGATCTATATATCTCTTTATTAATCTCTCTCTCTATCTCTCTCTTCTCTCTGTCTTTTCTCTCTTTGTCTCTCTCTATCTCTCTTTATCTCTGTCTCTCTCTGCTCTCTCTGACTCTCTCTTTATCTCTCTCTCTCTCTCTCTCTATATCTCTCTTTCTTATCTCCCTCTCTCTCTCTCTATCTCTCTCTCTCTCTCTCTCTCTCTATCTCTCTATCTATCTATCTCTCTGATATAATTTATCGCAATCATATTCGGATTTTGGTTGATAATTGCTCCGGCCAATGGCACTATGGGACAGCTATTCATGCCCAATGTAATTTATCATGAGGTGCTCTTAATTTGATGATTGCCGTTAGCTCCTATATAGCCAGGTTGCAGCCGACGACAAATTATATATGGACACTGCACCTCTATATCACTACTGCTTCTCCCTGGCTATGTAAAAGACCTCGCGTCTTGCTTATTATTCTGCCCTCGGCCTTCGGCATGGCACTCTGGATGTAATTTGCCGCCAGGTGCTGTCTCTTGAAGCTTGTCTTCACCTTTGGGATGGCTGCCGTAAAAATCGAAGTGAACAATCGCAGGTTACCTCTGGCGCCATGAATCGGTGTCAACGTATATGACTAGATGTCCAAGTGTCCGTGGCTGGCTTTGGCGCCGGAAAACTATGTTTAAGAATTCGATGTCAACTTGTCCGTAGCTGCGCCGCTACACGAGATTTGCCTTCGCGCTGAGACCTGGCACTCTAAATTTTCTTCAAATTTTCAGACTTGGGCTGTCGTTGCCGGAATACTGCCAAGCTGCATGTTCCACTTGAACTCCGCTGCTGGAAGCAGCGGATCAACTCTAGTTTTATTGATACTAATAATAATTAATTCTTTATCGAAATGATCTCTAAAATTTATTCTTATTATTTTAGATTCTAAAATTTGTATTTATAATATTAATATAAGAAAATAAATTCGATATTCATAGAATTTCTATATTATAGATAATAATCTTAATTTCTAAATCTGGTACTCTTTATTATGGTAATAAATTGTATTCTTAAGTCTTATAGGTATTACTATAGATAATATAGGAACTATATTATAAATCGTAATATTTCTCTTATATACCGCCACGGAATAAGATTAGATTTCTGTGTGCGTATTTCTTGAAAATCTGGTCTAAATATTTAGGATTTAATTAAGGTCCTAGAAATCTTAAATCGAATCTTAGTATATAGCTCGAAATTCTAGACCTTAAGTGTTGAATATATTTGCTTCAGGTTTGCTAAACTCCTTTGATTTGGATTTAAAGATAAGAATCGAATTTGAATAATAAGTTCTCTTCAAAAAATTTTATTTAGATCCGGGATTCTCCTTAATCCGATGTATTTGGCCTTGACATTACCGATTGTATTTTTTACTTATATCTCATGAAACAAGAAATAAGATCTGCCCGGCGAAGTCTCAAATATTATTTAATTTCGTTATTTATAAGGAAGAAAAAGAATGGATAAATTTGGAAAAATCAAAGTCAGCTTTTGAACGATAAATTAATTCTTTTATTATACATAAATATTTTTGATTGGGATCGGGATTGATTTCGAAATTCCCTCTATTCTGGAATATTTATTTTTCAAAACGGGGGTGCAGTTGCCGCGCTTTACGCGCGAAACATCACAAAAAAAACAATAAACCAAACAAAACCACAAAAAAAACAAACCAAAGAAACCCAAAAAAAACACAGAAACCAAAAAAACAAAAAAAACAAAGAAACCAAAGAAACCAAAAAAAACAAAAAAACAATAATCTGAAACTCTCCGGCCATGGAGCTCCAAGTCCAAGAGTCTCGGGCATTTGGTTTTTTTGTTTTTTTTGTTTTTGTTTGGTTTCTTTGGTTTCTTTGGTTTCTTTGGTTTTTTTGGTTTCTTTTCAGCTTTGACTCATTGAAAAAAATTCGCGCGTAAAGCATGGCAAGCGCACTCCCAGCGACATAACGGAGCAAGGCCAATACATAGGAACATAGGACTAGATGGCAATGCGAGATACCACTGCAACACACACTTGCACATCAGAGCTTTTTGATTCTGGGGATGATGAGAAGGTTTTGGTCTTGCGAAACGCATCAAAACTACAGCGACGTCCCCTTGAGTGCAGACTCACATACCACACACACACACACACCCGAACGAACACTATAGAAGTCTATGGACTATCATTTCGGTAACCACACATGCACATGCATGTGACGCTACATGCTCTACGCTAGAGCTGCTCAGATTTTCACTTCTTCATATGCTTCTTTTTGTGGATCTTCATGATAAATCTCTTCTTGCTAAGCTTGTTCTTGGCTTTCGTTGCATTCTTCTTTCCGGTGGTATTATAGTCATAGGATTTGGACTTGTGGGACTTCTTGATGACGGGGCGGAGATACGAAGCGCTCTTGGAGGTGATTGCCTCGTTGTGCCTCTTCGCCGTGTACAACATAATGAATTTGTGCCGATTTCCTCTGAGCTCATTGAAGTTGGCTGTGAAATTTCGAAATCATGAGAAAACCTGCTCACAAATTGATGTATTGATGCCTTTGATGAGTTTCCCCAACTTCTTCCGATGGCCTTACTTGTTGATATTATTTCAACCTGCATCCCGATTATTACTATGGCAAAACACAACGTTGAAACTGTTTCGATTTCCTGACAAAAAGACTTAATCCGAAACTGTTTGGATTTCCTGACAAAACATCTTAAAGTAAAAACTGTCTCAATCCAGGTTCGCGGATTGCACGAACACGACTTCGCATGCCTGTATGCGTGGAACCAATCGACTATGTAGTCCTCGATCTGGTCGAGTGCTTCTTGCTTACACGCCATCTTCACGAGAGTGCACGCACGGTCGTAGACGAAGTGTTTGCAATTTGGGTATAGCCAAAGCACGGAGCTCAACGCCTCGATAACGTACTCATTGCACTCAGGCTCGTGCATGACGGCCATGGACAGGATGCGACCGCTGTTGGGATCGCAACACATAACCACCCGTTGCTATACTTTGAAGGTGCGGCTTTCTCGCTTCGGGGACGACCTGCACGCTTTTGGGGAGCATCAGCACAGCGAGGCTTCAAGGAGAGATACCCGTCACCAACCAAATAGGATATCGAAGCTTTTTTCTTTGGAGGGTAAAGGCTGGAGTGACAAAAAGCGGAGTACACATCCAGACTCTCATCCGTGATCTCATCGTCAATCACGAGCGTCTTGTGCAAACCCAGCGTCTGAAACTCCTGTAGTGCAAGATGATAGAACATGCATGCTTGATGTAGCTTTCGAAAATCAGCCATCACGTTCGAGTCGTCCTTGGTGGCTTGCTTGCTGAAAACCACGTTGTATGCATGCTCGATTGCCCTTGTCGACACATGTCCTCGAAAGAGGAGTTCCTCGTGGTAGCACAAATATTGCAAGGAGAACGCCTTCGTGGAACTAACGAATAACACATCCTCTGCAAGATCCTCGACTGAAAGCACGTTCACTTTCTTGCTGTTTTCCCACCTAAAGTTGTAGGCATAAGTAGCTCGACAGTTGCGCGAAGTACACTGTTTTGGCCGATGTATGATTTCAACTGGACCGGACATCGTGTAGAGAATCGCTGGGATCATGCGGTCTTTGTCGATCAATGAACCTTCTCATCCGTCGATGACACAATTGATGAGCGGACATGTGATTTCACGGACTCGAGCTTGAGCTGATGGGCGACACATTACCCCTCCGCTGCCACCGCACACATCACGCAACACTGACGAAGCCGTCATTTTTGTTTTGACTAGTCGAAATACTGTTGTGGTCGGAGACTGCATCAACATAGCGAGATCACCCAAACTGATGAATGCTTCCTCACCGCCATCGAAGTAGCGAGCATGTCCTTCGCGACATCATAGGCCTTGCTGAACGAAACTAAGTGTTTATATATATAGGAACACATGCACCTGCTTCTGTTACACGTTTAGTCTCAGGTCGTTTGTCGTTATAACGGAGTGTGCGTATGTGTCAAATATAATCTGTTTTCGAATCTAAGAAACTTGTGAAGTGATGGTCGCGATGATACAGGTACATGCCGTCTGCACCCGCTGCGAATGAAGAGATTGGTACAAAATGAATTGCGAATCGGGCGATCATGCCGTTGAGCTCCGAAGCACGAAATGGACCATGCGAATTTGTTTGGACTGGCAAGCCGAACCACTGAAGAACCTGTAGTCCACATACATCATGCACGACCTCATGGTTGCAATCCCCCCCTGAAAGATCTGCTCCTGGTTCTTCTTCAACGATGTCCATGGCATCCTGTCCTTCCTCGGCAATATATCTGTCTACAATCTCCTCTAACTCCTTTTCCAGATCATCGAGGTCCCCATCACTGACATGTTCCTCACCCACGAAAACCGGATTTGGGGGTGCTGCTGATGAAGGCGCTGGGTTTGCTGACGATGTCTCTAAGTGAGATGGCATCGATATTGTGGAAGACGTGGCCTTGGACATCACTCCCGAAGTGCATGGGTATTTCTTTTCAGGAGAATCGAGATCAATGGTAATAGGTCCGGAACGCTTCAAATTACGGAAAGTTGTCTCGACCTTCTCCCTGTTCTCACGATCGCCGAGGTCGTTGTCGCCTAGGATACGTGGAAGAATTTGTCGTGGCGGTTGGGATTCGCCGAATAAGTTCATACCTCGAATAGTCATCGTGCGTGCAACTGTTTCACCTTCGAATAGACGATGCAAGACCTCTTGTGACCAAACCATGTCCTCGTGGAAGTTTGGCGGGAGTTGGTATTTTGTAGGGTTCTTCTTATAGTTCACGAAAATTTCCTTCTGGGATTGTACGAGAAGGTCACGGGGTTCATCAGCAGGCCACTGAACGAAGCGAATGTTCGTCTTCTCGACCTTTGCCAAACGCCAGTACAAGCCATGATCGGTGATTAGAATGACATGCGTACGGGCGAGTATGGCATCCATGTCCTCTACCTCGACGATGCTGGAAAACGAGGGTTGTATCAATTCCAGAAATTGTTTGTGCGGAACTTCCCAAATGTTCGATATCTTCATGCTTTTGTACGCTTCCTCGTCCGCCTGCCGGTTGTACGGGTTGTTGCAAGCTTGTCTGCCTGCACCTTGCTCGAAATAGGCAGAGGAATACCGTGCCCAAACCGTAGCATCTTCTTGATTACGTGTTTGCACGCATTTGTTTGTTGACAACTACATTATTTATCCATTCTTGCACTGCAGGTCACAATATGTATGATGACCAATGGGTTGATTCCAAATAAGTAAATCATCATGTATTACAACGCATGAGCTTTCACGCCCCAATAAGCGAAACAACTGTAGAGTTTAATATTGCGGTGGAATACATACGAACAAACTTGGATTGGCCCCCCCAATAAGCAAAGCAACATGTATTGTTCACGCCCCAATAAGCGAAACAACTATATGATTTACTATTGCGGAGGAATACATACGAACAAACTTGGATTGGCCCCTCAATAAGCAAAGCCACATGTACTGTTCACGCCCCAATAAGGGAAATAACTGCGGTGGACTACATACGAGTCATAGTTGGATTGACCTCCCAATAAGCAAAGCAACATGTATTATTCACGCACCACTAAGCAAAGCACTTGCATTCTAAGATGTGGGAACTTATATGTTGTTCGCGCGACTGCTGGTGGACCTCACTTTGGCGGCTGCTCTTATGCATAATATCAAAAATAATGATAAGGAAAAGCTTCTGAAGGTATTCAAGAAAGCTTTCAGGCATACGAATAAATTTGGATTGGCCCCCCAATAAGCAAAGCAACATGAATTGTTCACGCCCTAATAAGAAAAATAACTGCGGTGGACTACATACGAGTCATACTTGGATTGGCCTCCCCAATAAGCAAAGCAATATGTATTGTTCACGCACCACTAAGCAAATTACTTGCATTCTAAGATGTGGGAACTTACATGTTGTTCGCGCGACTGCTGGTGGGCCTCATTTTGGCGGCTGTTCTTATGCACAATAACAAAAACAATGATAAGGAAAAGCTACTGAGGGATTCAAGAAAGCTTTCAGGCATACGAACAAATTTGGATTGGCCCCCCAATAAGCAAAGCAAAATGCATTGTTCACGCCCCAATAAGCGAAATAATTGCGGTGGACTACATACGAGTCATAGTTGGATTGACCCCCCCCAATAAGCAAAGCAACATGTATTGTTCACGCACCACTAAGCAAAGCACTTGCATTCTAAGATGTGGGAACTTACATGTTGTTCGTGCGACTGCTGGTAAGCCTCATTTTGGCGGCTGTTCTTATGCATAATATCAAAAATAATGATAAGGAAAAGCTTCTGAGGGATTCAAGAAATCTTTCAGGAAGGATATATCTATCCGCTGCAGGTTCCCATTATTAAAGATACCCGGCTTGTACTTGGTCAAGGGTTCCGCCTTGAAAAACTCCAAGTGCTTTGCAGTCACGATGGAAGGATTCAAGTCTTCGCGCTATGCTGCATCAATCTCATACTTAGATTGGCAGAACGCTACGAGCTTCGAACCAAGAGATTTGCCTGTTCTGGTTCTGCCAATCCAGGTGATAGAATGCTGCCTGATGGATCCTAGCATGGGGACGAGGATATCATCAAAAAACCAAGGTACGAGACTCTTGAAAGTAAAGGGCCAATATTCAAGAGTTTTGGTATTTTGACGCCCCCTCATATGGTTTTGCAGTATCGTGATGACCTTGGCCTCTGACCAATTCTCAATGGGACTGCCGGCGGTGCGAATCTGATTATCTGTCCATTTCATGAATTGGCTGGCATTATTGGTTTTGGACCCATGGTCTTTGATAAAACGATAGCCTGCATCCCTTGCACTCTGGTCTACCGTGACCTTTTTTTCAAATTTGGGCTGTATCACCCAATTCCTAATTTGCATCCCACCCATCTTGTCCAATATGTACGTCAGGTCGATCAAGGCTTGGCGTGTGTGCGTCCCCCATTCAAACCGCATGGAGATGCCATAGCACATCTTAATGGCTTCGCTGGTGTTGACCTTGTTCCGATGCAAATAGACGTGCTTCAAAATATGCTCATATTTGGAATTGGGATCTTCATCTTCGGGAGGCGTAGCAGGAAGGATGATTATCTGCATAGTGTACGATATTTGTGGTTCCTGACGAAGACGAAAAGGTTCCGGCAAGTCTTTGTAATTGCACGTCAGACACTCTTTGACGAGCTTAGATTCGAAGAAATCCGGGGTGATATCAATTTTGGCATATTGGATGGCATCAGAAAACTGTTCTACCTTGCCCGAGATCGAGTCAAGGAAACGAACTGGTAGATCACCTATATTCACGTCACCTGCATCACGGATGGAAGACAAGGGCCTGGTTTCAGGGCCTTTGAGTTTCAGCCCCTGACCGGTGGTGTGCATGATAGCCTCATCGAATGTAAGTGCGCCATCCCGCCCTCCAAGTTCACGAAGTAATCCTGGTATATGTGCACCACGAAAATCAGAGGTGGCGTCCGAGATACCCAAATGATGAAACCAAGCAATAATGTTCGAGCTTTCGTGGCAACGAGATGATAGCTTGCGATCGAAACAGAAAGAACGTCCATTGTATGCTTGTATCTAGGTACCCATGCATGCAAGCAAAGCTGAATGAATGCTGTTCTGCATATATGTGCGTATGACTGCCGCATATTTTATTGCAATACACAGCAGGTGGGTTTCATCAGATGGCTCAACAATGGGATCCCTATAGATTTTGTAGAAAAAGTGCACTCCCACAGCTCCCCGGACTCTTATTTTTCAATTTGCTTGCTCCTATTCCTTCCCTATAGTATGAATATTATCAATTAGACGCGATTTTCAGACCTGTAGGGTCTATAAAATTAGGCGAATCAAAAACAGGACCTAATTGATTTCTTTATTTATATGAGATAGGGAAAAAGAAAGACCAGATATCTTTTATAAAATCAAGGGTCCAGATTTAGAATAATATATTCTTTTCGTAAAAAATATCATTTTTTATGTTTGTTCCCTCCTTTCTTTATATCTCATAAATGGTCCAAACGGATCCGAAGTTCGGTTCTGTGGGGCCCGGCGAATCTAAAAATAAGTCTTATTCAATTTCTCCATAAATACGATAAAGGGAAAGATAAATTATTGAAAATCACGGTATATTAATGAATAGATTCTTTTTATAGAAAATATATCTTTAATTGAGGTCGAGACCGATCTCGAAATTCCTCCCTATTCTGATATATTTGGTCTTATTATTATCGCTCCCTCCTCTTCCCCTCGAGCGAAAGTCGCTGGGCAGAATCCGGTCTAAGACGAAACGAATCGATTAGGGGAGTCTCCTCGCCCTAGGTCCTAGTCCTCTTTAGGGACGGCGAGTCTCGAAATCTGATCTGATATTCGATGATGTCCCTGGGAGGAGAGGATCGGTATCGTCGGTGCAGACCGGCTGAGCTCCCCTGCCTAGTCTTTGAAGGGGAATCTCCTATCCTATCACTAGCAGGTGCTGGCGACCAAATAAGAAGCTTGGTAGGAGCTTTAAGGGAGTCTCCTCGTCCTAGTGCATTGCAAGCTGCCAATCAATGGGGCATGTAATTGAAATCCAGAAATAAAGAGGAGAGTCTCCTCGCCTTAAGTCAGATTCAGGTTGGAGTAGACTCATCCTCCAGAGGAACGATCAGCCACGGCGTGCGAACCTCTTTATCCCTCGAACTGAATATGGGAATAAAGAGGCCAGACTTGAAAGTCTGCGGGAGGTAGGAGACGATTGCCGCATCTCGGATATCTTCTCAATGAGGTTGAGATTTCCTGTAGCTTCTGCAGTAGCACCTTGAGGAGGGCGTCCGAAGCACTGTAATTACGGATTTGGACTTGGATCCATTCTAAAAGGTCCGGGAAGGCCGAGAAAAGTCCTAGGAGGTCTTTGGTAGCCTGCATCCCCGGGAAATTACGGGCTTGAGCAGAGGCCCACCATCCCTTATCAAAGAGGAAGATAGGTATAAATTCTCGGGTCCTGATGGTAGCGGCTTGCAATACCGTATTGGACGGACCGTCGGCGGCGAGGATCTCATCCTACCAATCCATATTGTACCGGCCCAAATCACTGATCCGAAGGAAAACGGAGCAAAGATGGGCCGCAACATAAAGGACATACAGGAGGTCCGGCTCCTTGAGTTCTCTGACTCTGCCGATGCCCTTGTCCATGAGGCTTCTCTTCTCGTAGTAGACACCGTAGTCCTGGAACGTATTCTACCCAGGAGTTCGACCTGAATGGAGTCAATAGCGGAAGGACGTGGGATAGATATAAAGTCCCGGGACACAAGCTCGAAGAATTTCTGCTCCGGCTGCGTATTCTCAAAAGTCCCGATCTTGAGGATCTGGTGGGCTGCAGCTAATCCAAAAATAGATGGAAGACCCCCTCCTCTTCCCTACCTCTCATGAAAGGAGAAGTCAAGCGGATTCGGTATTTGGGTCCGCGAACCCCGGCGAAATCAAAAATAGGCATTTTTGGTCTTTCTATTTATATATTGCAAAGAAGAAGAGGGATCAAGAAAATAATTATATCAGTCTCGACCCCAATCAGCAATTGAGAAGTACTGATAGCATTCGCGCAATTGTCGTGCAGATTTTAGCTCGTTTTAGCTTAGAAGTTGAAGTGGAAAGCATGGGTGGGAGGTGCGGCGCCGGAGCCTGTGGCGCCGGAAAGGGGAATATTCCTTAGCCAACTATACCCGATCAATATTGTCCTCCCTCTATCTGCGCCGGAGCCTGCAGCGCCGCAGCCTACGGAGCTTCGTAAGCGTATCCACACGAGGTACTGCCGAGCCAAAAAAAATAATCAAGAAAGTCATCCTCCGATATCGCAGCCTTCGGCGCCGGAAGCTTTGGAGATGACGATTTGTCGTACGCGTTAAAGAACTGGGGAATGCTTCGTCAAGTCGGAATAATATTCGTATCTTGACCTTATAGCTTAATGGTCCGCTCCGGGGCCGGAGCCCGCGGCACCGAAGAGGTC